TATATATATACATATATATATAAATGCAGATCGATTCAAAGACATAATACACGATCATTAAGCAGTGCAATTGACTATTGAATCGTATATTTCGTATACATTCAATATATGATAGATAATAATGGAATCTCTATACAAGAGTATACAGTGATTACTTTGAAGACTTTATATATATAAGGATTACTTTGGGGAACTTTATAAGTATATTGATTATTTTGGGACGCTTTATATGTATATTAATTATGAGGTACTTTATATGTATATTGATTACTATATACTTTGGGATACTTTGGGTAAACTTCCGGATAAACATCTCATGATTACCATGAATTTTGGCAGAAATATTCCAAATGACATCAAATGAATGCCTTTAAATGGATTTTCATCGATAAAGTTTAATATTAAAAATGTTTAAGTAAAGTTATATATCATCTGAATGAATTAAATCAATTACATGAAAATACTTTAAAGAGCCAAGCCACAAAATTTTGATGTATCATTACTTTATTCGATTGATCGATAATAACTTTATAGACGTTTCGATTTCCGCTTGAGATCCTTATCAATGTAAAATAAAATAATCGCAATAATTTATGCCAGATGTTACACTTAGTACGAGTGCGCAAAGATTATATATTTAAAGTGCAGAATCAAAACCGCGTACAGCATGTTGTACGACTTCACAACATTAAGCTTCCAGGTTTATTATATGAACAGATATTATGTCAAAATAAAATACAAGATAAAAACTTACATGATGATGTCGGGTGTATTGTTAGAAATGTTGTTTGTTTGCATGTTACAAGTCATCTGACAATGTCTGTTACAAAAATATCGCAAAGGCAAGAATAAAATATATTGAAGACAGGAAAACATTAATTTTTGTTGAGCATATCGGAATAAGCCGAGTTTTAAAAGTTCCGTGTTCGTTTGCATATTTAAGCTATTTTTTTTTATTTACGTATAAAAATCATTTCAGAAATAAGCCGCTTGTTTAAAATTTTTTTCGTCTAAAATTTTGATATTATTCCAATCGAATTCATGAAAATATTTTAGTCTATGCTATGTGATTACTGAAACTTTGGTTTGTGTTCCAATTAATATGATTTTTATGTTCCCTAATTCACTTTTTTAGGGTTCTACCGATCTGACCCACATAAGATGCGTCACAATCACCGCATTGTATTTTATAAATCATATTCGTGTATGACATTAATGGTAACTTTGACGAAATTGCTTAATTTATTTATCCCCCTATATTGTGGGGACACATACACACACACACACACACACACACACACACACACAAAGAAGAAAGTCAGTGCGATATAAAATCCTTGTTACTTGAGACTTTATAAGACTTCGTATGGAAAACACAGAATTTTTAGATTTATGTATTTCCTGACTTCAATCTTCGCAAGTCTGTTATAAAACTTCTCGATGTAAATTTATAACAATTATTGAATGGTTTCTGGTAGGCAAGAATTATTATGACAAAATGTTTTAGAAAATTTAGTATTTGATTTAAAAAAAATATAAATTATTATTTTGCAAGAAAAATATTCTTTAATAACATAAGGTATGACCTCCGCACATTAAACTACAGAGACATTCCTGAGTCAGAGCGTCACGTGAGCGCCCGAAGACTCGGCCGCTGAGTCTCGAGCGGTAGTGGAGATCGCGCGCCGGAATCGGACCGAAATGTGCATCTAATGCCGAGCACTGACTTAGTGCATTGAACATTAGTCGTGTCTTACATAAAATCTACAAGCACGAAATCATTTAAGTCACGAGCGACGCATTGTCTCTGCGCTCTTCAAGAAAGCAGAAGCCACCAATGCGATTATTAACCATCACATTTTGAAAGAGAATAACTTTACTGCACTTATCCCTGCGTTTCACGTTATGAGAACTGATTTAATCAAGAATGTTTTGCTGGATATTTCCGATAAAAGGATTAAAGTAAACTTTGAGTACCGCCGTACAAAATCATTCATTAAGAGACTAAACCGAAGAATGAAGGAGGAAGATCAGGTTTGTACCATTACGCACTATCCTAATCAAATTCACCGGGAAAATCTACCGTACTCGGTCTCATTCTTGTTCGATTTCCAGTGCTCCCTTACATTTCGCGAGTTTGTCTTTGTTTTACTTGTCTAGAGAGTTTTACTTGTCTAAGATATGGCGCATCAGTGCAGATTGGTGGTGAACGACACGAATTCCCAAGGGGAATTTTTCATTCCCCTGATGCTAATGTACCACTAATCTACTGCAATTGAAGGAATGGAATAAAGGCCTAATTATTGTACAAAATCTTGATATTAATAAAAATTAAAATAACTTGTTACTTTTTTATTACACACATTATTACACATATAATATCAAATGAATTTATATAATGTCTTTAAGAAGTTACATGTTATAATACTTCTCTATTATGACAATTATTACTATATGAAAAAGCTAATTGCCGAAA